TTTTTTTTTTCTTTTTTTTTTAAACCCTTTTTTTTTTTTTTTTTTTTTTTGTTCATTTAATTATCCAGGTTATATTTATGGATTCAATGTGAATGCTAACAAACCTGTCCAGCAGCTTGCAGCTAAGAACAACATCCCCATCAAACTCCATAAGATTATCTACCATCTTGTTGAAGATCTGAAGGAAGAGCTGAGCAGTAAACTGATCCCAGCAACAGAAGAGGTTGTAAAAGGTGTGCAGAGAGTTCTGGGAAGCCCCTTTCTTCCTTTATTGAATTAGGTCTGATAGGAATGGCTGAGAGTGTGCGGGCAGTTTGCAGCATGTACTGTCAGTGTGACGCAGCTTATTGGGATGAAGGATTGTCCCAAATAGTTGGGAGTGTATTGGTGGCTTCTTTCAGGTGAACATTTCCAAGGTGTACTACTGTTCTAAAGTGTGTATGATATGTAGGTATACTAGCTCTCTCACTGCTGCAGCAGTTTGTGCCTATGCGGCATTATCACCACCGATTCCACATCCTGCAGTGTCAGAGTCTCAATCTTCAGCTGCTTCCCTTTTGACACTATTTATTTATTACAGGTATTTATATAGTGCTGTCATTGTACGCAGTGCTTTACATAGTTGCACATTCACATCAGTCCCTGACCTCATGGAGCTTACACTCTAAGGTCCCTATCTCGCATATATACATACATACATACATACATACATACACTCCCACACATGCTGGGACCAATTTTAAACAGGAGCCTAAAAACCTACCAGCAGGTCTTTAGAATGCGGGAGGAACTCAGAGTACCCAGAGGAAACCTACGCAAGCACAGGGAGAACATTCAAACTCCATGCAGATAGTGTTTTGGCTTGGATTCAAACCAGTGCTTCAACTTCAAGTGCTAACTGTTCAAGTAGTATTAAACACTCAAACTTTTTTCAATAATGATTCCAGATCAAACAAATATACATTGCCCAGCCAAGAATTATTTTTTTTCATTTTTGCCCACTTAGTTGTCATGATTCAGAACAGCTCCAACTCTCTCAGCTCGGCTTCTCTGAACTTTCTGTCCAGTACAGGATTACAAAGGACAGAGCAGTCTCCAGCAGCTGTCTATCTACTAGCTTGGAGGAGGGGGCAGGATAGTGGCTTTCCTTCCTATGCCTGTGTGTTTGTGAAGACACACACCGCTTACTCGTACACACAAGGGTGGCTCCATAGGACCCTGCAAGGGAAAGGAGCCACATCAGAATCCATTGTAAGTGATTTGATTAGCATTTGAAATAGCTTAAAAACCTTTTGACTTTAATATCTTTATATGCCACTGTGCTGCGCACGTTGTTATCAATCTGATACTTCTGCTGCCAGCAAAATGTCACAAGATGGGAAGAGACGGTTTCTCTGGGAGCACATTGAGCTATAGTAAAACAGCAATGTTACTATCCAGTGTTGTGAGGGTATGATGGTAGCAGAAGTAAGAGATTAATTATGGCACGGCCAGGGTGGGAGTGATGGCCTGGAAATCCAAGGCTCTGTCACTCTGGGAAGTGACAATGTTCTGAGAGGTAACTCTGCTTAGGCTACAAAATAAATGTTGCAGCAGTCAAAGGTTGTTTAAGAAGATATTGTACAGACAGAGTCTCTTTAAAGTTCTTGAATGAAGAGAACATTTACTTGCATACATTTCAGCCATTTTTTAGAAGAAAACCTAAAAGTAACGTCATATGTACTATTAGATTTGTCTTTGGACTTTCGCTAGCACAGCTTGGCAGAACATTTACTGACTTCGGTTACAGTTCTGGACTCTGCAATTGACCATTAATCCTCAATGTTGTGTTCTTCCAGGAGAAGCATCTGTTCTGGCTTTATTTGATGTTACTGCGGGGAATAAGGTCGTCCAGGTGGCGGGGTGCAGAGTTCAAAAAGGCGCCCTAGAAAAAAAAATGAAATTTAAATTAAAGCGCAAGAATAATGTTATCTGGACAGGTAAGAGACGAGCGGCATCTTCTAGTTGTTCCATTTCAGTTTCTCTATGATGACATAAACTGAATTATTATTCCTCTGAAGGCACTTTGACGTCTCTGAAGCACCACAAGAATGATGTGCAGATCGTCAAGACAGGAGTAGAGTGTGGCCTAAGTATTGAAGATAGTGACATTGAAATAGAAGTTGGAGATGAAATCATTTGCTTTGAGGAGAAGACAATACCAAGGAGAACATCATGGGATCCTGGATTTTAATCCGTCTTTTTCAAGGTAAAAATGTTTACTGTTCTAGGCTCAACAGACATCGCAAATGTGATACAGATAACTATTAGTGAAAGGCTGAGGCAAGCCATAGACACATGTGAGGGCGATTGTTCTTCACGGCAAACTTGGAATAACCACCTAATGCCAACCTTCTCAGGAGAACAGTAACCACTGTCCTGAAAAATTCATCTAG